CAAATCCTAGAATCATGACACCCTGAAAGTTCTCATCAGTCCCCCAAAACAATGTGACACCCATCACAGACACTGTCATTCCTGTTAGCATGAAAGGTCTCAATTTGGGCTCTGGGGGTCCCTGGCAGTGTATAGGTCAGGATATTTCATCCCTCTTCCAAACTTGACTGGTACACTGGCAAAACAGGATGGTTTACATTTCAGCAATAAATGTATTTAGCAACCTTAAATGTAGTAGCAGATGGGGGTAGGATGGAGATGGGGAAATTGTGGGCCACATTTTCTGTTGAAAATCCATTTGGAAATTTTTGCTGTGACCCACATTATTCTGCCTTCTACCCCCAACTTTTTCCCTTCAAGGAACATGATGATTTCCCAAGGATAAAATATTCTGCAGAAAGACATTTAATAATGTGCTAAATGACAGCACAGTAAAGCACAGAAGCCTTTACTGATTTGCAGACCAGCCCCAGACTGGATTCTTGGGAGTCCAGCTTCCCTTTATATTGTCACCTGACCATTCCCTTGGGATCTGCTCGCTTCTTCAATGTATAGTGTTCCTCAAAGTCTACCTTTTCCCCAATTTGCATGGGGAAAGAAGAATGTAAACACCATGGAACTTCAAAAAGAAAAAGAATACTGGGGACCTGCCATTCATTTCTGTTACAATTTGTATCTAGTTGTCTCCCTCAAAGCCTAGTGAGATCATAGGTTGGGCTTTTCAGAAGTAACTAGATCTAGATTATATGATGCTAAGATTAAGGGTGTGATGTTGGGATTAAGAATGCCTTATCTTGGGTATGAGTGGCACCAATCAAAAGGCATGTAGCCTCAAATGGAATAAAAGGGAAAGGTAGGCTTGCTGAGGGTGCATCTACTGCTGCCTTTTCTGCTTTGCTGCTTTTGGCCTAGACTGCTTTGCCATGATCTGTGTCTCTTCTGTGATGCCCCTCTGCCATGAAGCTAGCCAACTATAAATCTTGAACTTTAGTTGTTGGATATTTTGTCTTACCAACAATAAAAACAAGACAGGGGTAAACTCTGGTACCCTATGGGTCACACTGATACACGCAGTCCAAAGCAGAAAGGAAATGCCCTATTTCCCACTATCCCACTTTCTAACTCACAGAATTAGCAAGAACACTTACAGGAGGGTGAGGTGTGGGAAGAGAAACATTCAACCTGCTGATTCCTTGAGGCTCAGATTTGCACAGATGGCAGACTCATTAGAAGTCACAATGCCCCTTGCAGAACACAGTGAAATACTGACATGGCATAAAATGCAAAAGTATGTGTAAAAGCAGATTATGTCTAATACTGGACTGCAGGATGCATAAACCTGAAAGTTTCAAGGCATATTTATGAGGAAAATATAAGCAAATTCTACCCGCTGGCCCTGATCTTCCCTACTCACCTCCCCTCTCATTAGAGTCCCACAGTTAGAACAGCATTAGAGATTAATAGTGGACTGACAGGACAGACACAGATAGACAGACAGACAGACAGACAGACAGACAGACAGACAGACACACACACACACACACACACACACACACACACACAATGGAAAGGAAATGGCACATGGATAATAGGGAGTGTCCTCGAATCCTGAACCAAGACAAGTGAGGCAGGTACTTCAAGTGACTGATACCACCTAAATATTATGAAAATCAGCCCAAAAGCCTCAGCACATGGCTGGGAAGGCAAGCTCAGTGTCCAGGGGACAACAGGAGTCAGAATACAGAGTAATCACTGACTGCATCAGAGTGGAGTGGAGAGGGGTGATGGGAGTGATCAATTCTGATTGTTCAAGAGAAGACTGGTGTCTGGATTTTTTATATGATGCCTCCTAATTTATTTTATTTTATTTTTTTTTTTATGTAGGCAACTACTTCAATTAAAGAACACAAACAAGTATGGAAGCTTCACTGTCCTGGCCATACAAAACAAGTGAGAGGATCATAGTTAGGAAACCCTCTATAGACTGAGAGTTTCCCAACTATGTCGCTAAATCTGGGCACAGGCCCTACAAAGACAGGCTCCAGGTATGCTGGGTGGATGCTCTGGGATTGGCCAAATGACTTTTCTAGATTTTGTTTTTCTCATCAAATATGGAGATTCAGTGCCCACTTCTAAAAGGCTTTGAAATACAGCAGATGAGTTGGGACCCCTGGTGAGTGCTCCACAAATGGCAGCATTGCCTTAGGAAGCAAGTGCACTGAAGTTAGGGACCAATGCCCGTCCTCTGTAGGATCCTGAAGCAATATTTGAAAGAACCAAGGAAAATCTTAGAAGAATTATGCTTTGCAGGACTTTTTTCCATAGCCAACAGATCTTTCTCTTTGAACTGGAGATTTCTGCAGCTAGTTCTATAGGGGAGAAGCCAGTCCCGCTGTGTTCTGTAGGCACACAGACAGGAGACCGTCACATGGAGGCTCACCAATATGGGCGGGGCTTCGCTGCAGCCCATCTCTCCTTATCCCCAAACCAGACAGCCTACCAATTTCAATTTATAATCTCATCCTGCTCAAAAAAGAAAAAGATAGGAAAGGTAGCTTACTTTGGAATTATGAAGAAAGCCAAGGAAATAAAGCTGTTTAATTTCAACTGGATATTGAACAATGGTCAGTGGAAATTCTGGTCATATTTTGTCCTTTGCCACAACGTCCTATAGAAAGTCCTTTTTTAAAAAGAGTCCATAAATGTGAACCTTATGTTCTCTATTACCACAAAAGGTCTCTCTTGCTCAGCACTAATGAGTGGTAACTGGCACAGAGGCCAATGTCCTACATGGGGCATTGCGCTCTTAGATTTATTCTTAGAATGGGCCATCATAGTGGCAACTCACTATGTATTTTTTATCAGAGAATCCAGTGAACATATCTGTGACTCAATTTAATTCCCAAAAACCATCATAGGTAGTGTGGGGTGGGGGAGGCCACCTGTAAGAGGGGAGGGAGAACTCTTGTATGTACCAGGGCAACCTTTCTGAAACATTTAAACAAAAAGCCCTTACAAACCAAATACCCAGGAAAAATGAAATTACAGTGTTCCCAATGGTGTCTTCTACATGGGGAACCAAATTCATCTCTTTTATCACTGCAGCAAAATATAATTATGTCCTCTCACCAAACTCCTAAAGTAATTAGGGAAACATAATCATGTTGGGTACAATAAAAGGACCTAAGCAGATAAGAGAGGCCTCCACCAATGTCTGACTGCAAGTTCAACTTGGAATTGCTGGTAGTATCCTACAGAAAGAAGCCTAGTTTTGATTTAAAACAGTATCTATGGAATGAACCAGACCCCTGCCCCCCACATGTGCCATTTAAACAACCAAAGTGAAAGGAATTTTGTGTGTGTGTGCGTGCGTGTGTGCTAAGAATCAAACTCAGGACCTTTTGCGCTTGCCAGGCAGGTCTTGTGCCACTGCACTCTATTCCCCAGATCAGAAATCTTATGTTCTTCCAGTAAACCACAGATCCAGACCAATGCTTTTCAATGATGAGTCCTGCTGTGGCATAGATCTGAAGTCCCCCAAATGATTCATGTTTTCAGAGGTGGGACTTTTGGAAGATGAATGGGTCGTGGAGATGCTATATTTGTGAATGGATCAATCTGCTGATGAGCTCACAACTGAATGTGCTGCTAGAAGATGGGGTCCAGCTGGGGGAAGGGTTGCTCTATCTCTGCGTCTGTCTGTCTGTCTCTGTCTCTCCTTCCTGGCCTTCACAAGTTGGGCAGCTTTTCGCTGCCATGCTGTCTCTGCCTTGGAGGCAGCTGCCACAGACACCCCTGGAACTGTGAGATAAAACAAACCCTTTCTCTTTTATGTTGTGTATGCTAGGTATTTGGTCTCAGAAAAACAAAAAAAAAAAAAAAAAAAAAAAAAAAAATTAAAAAAAAAAAAAAAAAAAAAACCTGCCTAACACAAGTCTGAGACCATCCTTGAGATGCGCCATGTTTTTCTATAGATTTCCACACTCTGGGCTTCCATGACAATAACATCTTTAAATAATACCATTACCCTCTGAGGCACTTGAAGAATATTTAAAAAAAAAACAAGCAGAGGTTTGTTATTGTGGTTTCCCTAATTGCAGGGATGTGAATATCTCAGGCTAGGAACACAGCATACTGGTTAGCCATCAGGTGGTGACATCAAAGTGACCACTACCTTTCCCTGGGCATTACCCAAACAGATGTTTCCCAGGGACAGGACCAAAGAAAGTGGGTAGATGCAGTCAGTGAAGAATGAACCATTACAGTGCAGGGCAGGGGCAAAGGAATCTGTCATACACAGCAAGCAGAGGGCTGGTGACAGAAAAACACCAGCATCTGCCATGTTCATGGACAATTTGGAACTAATAACTTTCTAAAAGCATAGCATGTAAATTTATTTAATTTTTTAATTTTTTTAAGGGCAAAAAATTTGGACTTCATTTTAAGCATCCTTATATTTAGTAATACGAATATGGAAATGATGTAAGTTGATAGCACTGGGAGTCTGAGAGTTTTTCCTAGGGTCCATCATCCAATCTTAGGAAACACTGGTAGACTATTTTCATTTTGGGACACCTGGGCTCTGAACAGAAAATGAATCTTTGATTAAGATCCATAAAAACAGGAAGCCAAGGAGACTGGGCATGGTGGTACACGCTGTAATCCCAGCTTTGGGAGGCTATAAACAGATGGATCATTATGAGTCCAATGTAGTAGTAAGACCCTGAATACCTTGTAGACCCTTCCCTAAAAAGTACAAAAAAAAAAAAAAAAAAAGGAAGCCATGGATTTCTGAAATCACTCATGAACCTCAAATCAATAATGCTTACCTACAGACTAAAGGGACGGCCAAGCACTAGGCTAAGCATAGCTGTCAGCTCTGGGGATACCCAAGCCACAGTTCTTGGGATACCACAGAAAGCCACTTCCCCTAAATCCCAGAGATCTGAAAAGCAGTGCCTGGAGGTCCCTGAGGAGCATGCTCACATGACAGTACTCACACGAAGAAAGGCACCAGCTGTACCAGAGTCTCCTTCTTGGGGCTGGCAGCAAACTCAGGCACCATCTGAATGACTTTGTTCATGACACTGCGCAGGTAACTCTGGAGCTGCTTTCTCCGTTCCTCTACGAACTTGGCATCCTGAGAACACAGACAGAACATGTGTGTTTAGTCTGACTTCCCCAGTCATTCAAGAATGAACCCACAGCATGTGCAGTAACCACTCAGCTTCATCCAGACAGCGTCAACACCCCAACCAATCTCCATGGCTTCATGCATGCTACTGGACTTAGCAAAGGGAAAGATGTGCAAGAGGCTACCACTATTAATAAGTGAGGGAAAGCAGGTGTATACTGACACATGGTGAACTATCATAGCAAATGAATGAACAGGTGAGACTGTAAATTCTAAGGTACCAGTGTGGTAAAGAGGGCCAGGGCTAGAAAGATGAACATAGAGTCACTGCTGTATTTTTCTCAGAATTCACAGGCCGGTGAGGAAGATATAAATAAATCCAGTGATCACACAGGTAAACATATAATTAATATTATTTTTTATTGTTTATTTTTTAATTTTTTTTCATAATTTCATTGAGAAACAAACAGCAATGAGAGAACTTCAAACCAAATTGGCAGGACAGTTTCAACAATTAACACATTGCATACATTCTTCCTAGTGGTTAATTGCTGTACAAGATGCGGACATGATATTTCACTTACAAACACCATTAGAACAAATCCCTCTATTCATCAAGAGAATGCAACTATATATCCATCCCAGCCACTTTGAATACACAGATACAAAATGGACATTCATCTGTATCCCCTTCCCCTTTTAAGTTCTGTTATTTGAATATTATAGATGTGTAAACTCAGCAAAATATCCTAAAAGATAAACATATAATTATTAATCATACTGTCACCCTCAAGAGCATGTGGTTAATTTTTCCTTCCCAGTTTTTCAATTACAAGTCAGTAATGACTGATTAAGAAAGATTTTATTAACAAGCAAACAATTGCCACCTTTTCTTGAGAGATGGGACATGTGATGGAGACATGGTTCCTGGCAGGGCTGATCCTGGCTGGGGCTAGGAATGCGTGCACAGGCTCCACCACAAAACACTGAGAGCCCAATGCTCCAGACCCCCTTACTCATTCCCAGGTCCCACTCCACCCGTGTAGGCTGGCCTTCGTAAGCATGGCTGGCTACATGGGTGTGTGACCTGTGATGTCACAGAGTCTGTTCTTGGACCTGTGTGATAATCTGCTGCCCCACCTTGAAAACCTCACCAGTTGTAGAACCAGGTGCCCTACAAAAGTGACACCTCTAAGCAAAGATGGGCAGTAAGCACATGAAGACATGGGATGCTCAGTGAAACTGGAATTTCAAGCAAACACAAACAAATGTGTTTTGAGCAGAAATACATCCCATAAAGAAAAGCCTGCCCATGCAGTACTGGCACACACTTATACTTATATAAAGAATTATTGGTTGTTTTCTGAAATGCAAATTTCACTGGACATCCTTCATCATTTCTGGCAAGCCATCTCTGAGTATCAGGTGCAAGGAAGAATAAGGGAACATCTACCTTTAGCAAAGGTCCCTTTGGGCTACTCCAGTCACCTCATGAGGAGTTGCTTCACAGGGATCTTCCTTCAGAGGGGAGGCAGCCTTGAAAGTACCATGAGCCACTCCACTATTATTGCCAGTGCAGTAGCAGACCAGGGCTAAAATCTCACGCAGTTTGTCAGGGGGTAGGCTAGGTGGGAGCAAGTGGAAACACCTGGCCAAGAGAGTGGAAGGTTCCCCAGTCCAACCAGAGCCACTGGGGTTCTATTTACTAGGTCTGAAGGCCAGGTTCTGGTCCTTGATCTGTCATTAAGCAATTAGATGTTCTTCCTTGGGAAGGTGGGTAATGTGCCAGGTTAGTGTTGAATGGAGCTAATCAGGCTCAGTTTTAATCTGCTTAAGAAACCCTTAAGGACAGCTGAAGAGGCTCTCCTGCAGGAAGACATGGAAGGAGCTCATCAGCCTCAAAATAACTGGAGAAGATTTTCCTTTTCCTTTTCTTTTCTTTTTTTTTTTTTTTTTGGAAGTGATGCTCAAAATACAGAGCCAGAATAGATGAGAGATGGTCCCTTGTGCTGAGCTATAATGGCTAGGCTACACAGAGCCCAAAGAAGGAGCACCCAAACTGAGGCTAGATGAGTCTAATCTACCCATTGTCACTCTAGTGTTGCCTCATCCTGCCCAGGTCCCACAGGTAAAAGCAACTTAGTAGAGATAAAGGTTACCCCTAGAGGAAATGTCCAGTGCCATTCCTCACAATGGCTACTCCGGAAGCCTGTGCCAGTTCTGAGGTCATCCAGAGTGGCAGCAAACTCAGTTCCACAAACAGGCAATTGTTATCTGAACTACTGGGAGTAAGCAGCAGCATCCTAATTTATGCTCAGTGCTCCATGCCCTGAGCCCTCCCCACACTGTGTCCTTACAATTTGCCTGAGGCTCAGGTGGGGGGAACCTGCTCAAGTCTCAGGGGCAGTGGGGCAGGGACTCAGGCTGAGTACCACCAGGGAGCAATCATAACTCCCTTGAACCGGAAGTCTTCAGAGCATAGAAGGGAAATCTAAGGCTTCCTCTATAGCAACTGCCCCAAATGAGGACTCTGGTCAGGGAAATCCCACTCTCAGGTGGCTTTATCAGGTGCCATCTCCCATGTGAACAGAACGACGCCCGGAGAGACACTGTTCCCTGCCTCTCCATAGGCTCCTCAGCCTGAACCTCTACACACAACTCAGGGGGGTTAGCCTGAGGCATGTGAGAGACCTCAGACAAATTTGAGGAAGGCTATGTTCTTTCCTGTGACTGTGTTTTAATTATGAAACATTTAAATATGCCAAGACAGACACATGAATGTAAGTAATCCTTTATCTAATAAAGTCAGGCCCTTCCCATACTTGCTTCATTATTTTTACCTTTTTGCAAAGGTAATTAAAGATGTTTAACAGCCATAATGGTATTTCTTAAGCACTTCAGTGTATATTTCTAAATAATTGGAACATTTTCCCATTTAACAATACCATTATTACTTCTAACAAAATTAATGCTAACGCTTGGTGCTATCTAATAGCAAGTCCATATTTATGAGTGTTTGAGTTTTCAGATGAGGCTGCTGCTTCTGGTATTTTTACAGAGGGGTAGCAGCACATCCCAAGAAGCTGGTAACTCATCAGTAGGTTGATGTGACACAGCTCAGAATAGAGTCTCAGGAGGCTCAGTCCAGTTCAGACTAAATGTGACCCACAGGGTACATTTTGTTTGGGGATAGTGATGTTTAATATGCATTAGAACCCGTATTCCTGGCTTCCCTTTACTAAGCAGCAGCCCTGCAGGTGTACAGTAGTTCAGCAGCAGAGGTCCTCCTGGCTGGAAGCACAGTGCCACCACCCTTCCCGGGCTGCTCCCTTCAGTCCCAACCCTGCCTGACTTCATGAATCTGCGTTTTCAGCCCCTCGCTGACACCACGTACACAGGCAGTATGACTGGCCGGGGCCCAGCAAACATACCTAAGAGGCCATATTGTGTTCAATTCACATCACAAAATGACATTTCCTAAGGTTGTCAGAGAGAGTACAGCATCAGTTCTCAGTTCTAGGGGCATGTGCCTGAGCCACCTGGAGGCCTGAGTTTACCATCTGTGAAGGGAAAATAAAGTAGTGCCCCTCATTTGTGATAGACCAGGCTAAGCACCCAGTCACGGGCACACCCTGGAAAAGGTGCTGATGATTCATGGTTGTTTAGCTGGCTCCTTTTCCTTAAAGACTGTACATGTGTAGAATGGGGTAGGGTAGGTGTGAGCAAGTGCAAGGATCTTATAACCCCCATGCACTCAGGGAAGCTTGCTAAGAGAAGGACCAGGTTTGTAGGAGGGATGGAGAAGGTTCTGCTCAGAGGATGCCACTGCTTCAGCTGGCTCTAGGAACAAAGGTACACATCCATTAGGCAATCTGAGAAGCTGCCCTGAGAGTGAAGGATCTACAATAGCAAAATGGAAGGAATAGCAAAATGTAAAAAAGAACTTCCTAAGCAGAAGGTTAGGGTGCTGGAGCAACAGAGGGAAGGGCTATGGGCTGGGCTTCCTGGTTTCATGGCTTAAGATAGAAATATTAGCATGAATCTCCTCATGCACAGCTTGGTAGATCAAAAGAAAAAAACCCAAAGGGGAGCTGGCAGCCAGAGGCATTCAGCAGGGTGATAACTGGGAAGGAGGCTGCAGCAGCTTTGGTAGAGATCTTTCAAAAATCTCATGCCACTCTCCCACTTGGAATTTATCATTGAGTCTTCATAAATTGTTCACCTCTCAAGACACACATCTCGAGACACACACTGACAGCATGGCTTGTCAGAACTTTTGTGATGTAGCTCAGCCTGCTTTGCAGACCCAACCTCCTGTACTTCCAACACTATTGATGCTTCACTGTTCCTGAGTTTCCTGGGATCCTGTACAGTCTCCAGATATCTTCAGCCTTTGCCCTGACTGTTGCCTCGGGTGAAATGCCTTGCTATAGAGGTCTTGGCTTCTATGCCACTGTCTCCAAGAAGCCTGCTGGACCCAACACCTAAGGTCATCCAGACCCTCTCTGGCCCAGCCTGCTCATGTTTCTTCAGGACACTCACCGCAACCTGGAATATTCTCACTCCTTCACCTCGTGCTTCTTACTCCCATCTCTCCTACTAAGTACACTGTAAATTCCACACAGGCTTGGACATTACCTGTCTGGTTCTCTACTTTATCACAGAAGCCTAACACAGTGCCTGAGGATTGAAAAATGCTTGATAAAGCAAACACTTCTTGAAAGAACAAATAAATGTGGAGTGTGGATTTAAAAGAGGCAAGTCAGGCCACCAGGGAGAATGATTTGGAGGCTACTGCCAAGGCCCGGATGAGAGAGAGCAAAGGCCCTGATGGAGGGCAGAGAGGCACAGGGCAGATGAGCAGGTTGTAAGTGAAGTGGTCCCTCAGAGATCTGTGTGTCACAGACAGCATCCAGGAGATAAACGTCATGTAAGGGCCTGTCCCACTGGAAGGACAAACCCTTGAAGGGACCTGAGGTTACTTGTGAGTTTTCCATTTGAACTCC